CGCCGCCCCGCAGCACCCGCTCCCGCGCAGGCGCACAAAGACACGGAGGGAGGCAGAGCGCGCGGCCTTTATTAGGGGCCGTCACACAGAGGTGCCTTCCGCGGGCGGGTCGCGCTGTGCCTCGTTCTTGGTGTCCTCCGGCTTCATGGCGGGGAAGAGCAGCACCTCCTGCAAAGAGGGACAGCATCAGCAGGCACCGGACTGGCCCCAGCGCCTCATGGCTCGGGAAGCAGGAGCCCCCCAACAGGAATCAAGAGCCCCCAGGACAAGCACAGCCCCTGGCAGTCCAGGCTGTGTCTGGCTGCGGGGCCGAGGACACACTATTGCAGAGGGCTCAGCTTGCGCTTAATGTGCCCAGCATGGTACATGGCTGCCATCCCCATGGCAGCTGCAGAATCTGGAGACAGTTCTCAGCATATGCAACAGGTTTTCTGAGGGGAGGTGGAATTCTTAGCCTTGAGAAGTTTTGTTGCAGATGAGGTCTACGTTGTAGAATCTCATTCTAGTTCTCTGACAAAACTATCAGTAGGCACTGCCATTTCTAATATTTACCTTGATGTTATTGGAATCTGTAAGCAACATGGTGAAGCGATCAATCCCCATGCCCCAGCCAGCTGTAGGAGGAAGACCATACTCCAGTGCAACGCAGTAGTTCTCATCAATAAACATGGCTTCATCATCACCTGCAGCTTTTGCCTATGAAAGAAAATACGCAGTTTAAAAGCATTTGTACAGCACTAGAAATACTACTACTTATACCAACACCTACCAACAAGGATGAACACTTATATTTGCAGGAGCCAGGTAACTGATAAAACCAAACCAAATAACAGATTAAGGAACCTCACCCCTGGGAAAATTCTGGAGGCCACTTTTACGGGTGCTTCCAAGACTAGGCTGGCAAATCCTCTTCTTGCTCTCTCTCTAATCTGCAGTTTTTCACATGTTCTATTGAAACTTTCTCAGCTATGCTTGCTATGTCAATTCCTTTCAGATCTAGGAGTTTCTAGACAAAGGTCCAGCCCCTCCACTTTGTTGAAAGCTATCTCCAGGGCCATGAATGTCTCTGGACTTCAACCACCTGGGTGGCAGCAGACCATGGTGAAAGTTAATACATGGTTCTCAAAGGATGTTGAGGTTCTTTATCACCTGCAATCCTCCTCCCTTAATGTTTACTGTAACAAACACGGACAAAGTCATGCAAATCATCAGTAACTGCCTCATGAAACAAAGTTTAGACATCATATTTCCTCAAATAAAAATATTTGAAAATACTGAAATAACTCATATTTCTTGCGTAATTTGACAGTGACAGGCTCTAAATGGTGAAAATGATAATAATAAAAATATAGACAAGCCAACCCTCTCAAATTTAGAAAGCATCAAATGCAAGTGTGGAAACTATGAAATGTTTTAGCTCATGCAGTTTCAACGAAGGCTGCTCAATAAAGACATTTTTGTGCCTGAGTCTGAAATACTGAAATGTGATGATTTGCTACCACCCATCTCAGTTTCCAACTTAACATTAATTTTTGAGGCAAATTTTCAATCAAAACTCCTCCTTTCTCAGGCTTACCTACAGAAACCTAGTCATATAGATTTGCAGGCTGAATAATTTCCAAGGAGTCTGCAGGTCTATTCTGTGAGTCACTTTAAAAATAGCTCAGTTCTGCAAATCAGATTATTTCCTGTGCATCATTAAAGCTCTCACTGGATATAGAAATTCATTTAATAAACTACAATGTTGTGTTATTATACAATAGCTTAATTGTGGGAAAAATAATTCACTGTCAACTTGAAGATGACAGTAACCATTCTGCACATCTGATTTTTATTTTAAGTGCCAATCTGAAAAAAAAAATCTGAAACATGGCATCACTACTAAAATAACAATGATCAACCATGGAGTTCAGACTTGTATACCTCAGAGAAATTCATTCAAAAAGAATTCTTAAATTAACTTTTAAAACCTATTAAGTTTTAATGACAGGCTATCACTTAATTTGAGAAGAGTTTCTCACTTAACAACCCTTTTCAAGAGCAGGGACTAACAACAGACATTGAAGAGACATAGGGAGTATTATTTGCTTGTGTGCCTAAATTGTTTATTCATTATCATCCACACACTGTACCTTGGCTTGATTCTCAAAAAGCTGCCGCTGCCGGAAAGGATCATTCAATTCCGTGTATGCATTGCACACTTCCTTCTTCATCACAAAAAGTTCAAAGCGTTCTGTCAGTCCTGGATGAGATCGATGCCTACATCGAGATGACAAATCAACCACACCTTAAAATGACAGCCTTACAGAAGTAAAAGAGAATATACATACTTCAGGAGGACGACCCATATTGCCAGTAACAGTTGTCAGCACTTCCCATTACTGAATATTCTCTGAAAGTTGGGTTTCACAGTTAATGGACCAGTATCTATCTGGATTGGTGCTGGAATTCACAAACCACTATACAGCATCAACATCTCCCTCTTCACAATGGGACCTTTTCTACCAGGTAGCAACAGGGAGGTTAGAGTTATAACATGAGTATATCTGACACTTACCACTTAGCTAGAGGACTCATGACTTGTGGGTGGTCACAGATGAATGTTGGGTTGATACAACTGACTTCCAGAAATTCACCAACTAACTGGGAAGAGAAAACAGAAGAGAAAGGTAGAGTACAGGAACGCTTTACTAACACTGCCCACCCCAAACATCATCCTTTCCTCCATTCAGTTCTGAGGAAGGTACTGTAGACATGAAAAATTAATAATGCCTAATCACGTTAACATCTCCACTGAAAGAGAATGTGTTCAAGTCAGACAAGAAAAAATGACATAGGACAAATTGTATTAATAAAATGTAATTTAAGTTCTAATTTGGACATGGTGACAAAAGCCAAGAGAAAAAACAGCAAAACCCCAACTTTTAGGCAATATTTGAGATTGAAATAAAAGACTTAATACTCAAAAGTTGATCTGAGTGCTAGGAGGTAAGCCTAACAGTTTGGTAAGGTAGATTCAAATGCATAGATCTCACTGACAAAACTAATGTGAGATAACTATATCCATCTTAAGCACAAGAGACCAGCTACCAAACAAATACCTCTAAGCTGTCATTAAGCTGGCATCAGTACAAATCGCTATACTCTGCTGCAAACAACAGGGAAAAGATTTTGACACAGCAAGTTTTCTCCTTTGATACAGAAAGAGATTAACTGCATTTCAGCATAATTCCCCACATGTAGAAAAGCTTTTGCTCTGTATGGACTTCTGTTCATACGGATATATCCCTAAAGACCTGAAAATTACAAAACTACCACCTTTACTTACCTTGTCAAGAAGCCTGGCTGTTGTTCTGGGGGGCGGACACTCAACATTTCTCTCCACGCAAATGTCATCAAAGAACCTGCGAGTTTCTGAAATTGTTGTAGACAAAAATTAAAACAAAAAACACCCAGGCACCTATGTCTTATTTCCACATCCTTCAATATGTCCTAGAATGTTCCTAAAGAGTTTAATAATATACATATCGTTGCGGAAAGTGCTAATTCAAGTAGCAGTTTCAATACATAAAAGGGGTGTTTGTTTCTAACAATTTACCACAAATACACATTATTTCAGAGACTTGGACAACAGTTATACATAATCCCCACATGCCGAATGCTAGCTTATTAGCGCACAAAAAAAAAATCATTAAAAAAAAATATGAGCTTGTTTCATTATGGCTCTATATTCCAAGAGCAAAATAGGAGACGCACACATTTGAAGACAAAAATAATCCTATCTTACAACCACATACACCAAGACTAAACTGCACTAAGGGCAGAAGAAATGAGAAAAAAAAGCTGAGTCTCTTCAAAAAGATCTCCATCAATGCCATCTCCTGCAGTATCATATATACTCAAGAAAGGGAGAAGCTAAAGAGTCGTATCTTGCTGCAGACTACAGAACACAGACTCCTTTCTGGAATCCCAGATAATGGGCAGAATTGGAGAAAAGCAAACTCATGTATTACCATCACCTCAAAACAAACAGCTGACAGACTGAAGATGAAGAACCCGAAATACTTGCCCTCTTCACATTAAGGGGAAATTAAAGCATATTCATTCTCAGCGTCTAACCTTCAGTTTCAAAACAATCAGGCGATGGAAATTTCACTCCCAGGACCTTTTCCAGTTCATATACCATACTAATTCGCCGAAAAGGAGGAGTAAAATCTATCTCATAAGCCTGTCCATCTGGACCATCTAGATGATAAGCAATCTTGTAACCTCCAGTAATATGCTTCACCATCCCTACAAGAGAAAACTGAGATTTAAAAAGCAACAACAAGCCACTTAACATGTAATTCCTCTTGAATAGATTTTTGGAGATTTGGCTTCGACCTTTTTTTAACTTAATATTGCATACATCACCTGAAAGCAGTTTCTCTGTAATTTCCATCAAGTCATGATAATCCGCATAAGCCATATAGAATTCACAGGTTGTGAACTCAGGATTGTGAGTTAAATCAATTCCTTCATTGCGGAACTGACGTCCAATTTCATATACTC